GCGGGCCCCCCCCCGCCCCAGCACTGGCGCTCATGAACCTGCGAACCTGGCCGCGCCCCAGTGTGGGTGGGCCCTGCGCCCGCCCCCCGCCCTGCTGCGAGGTTTGGCATCGAGGTCACCTGCTGGGTGTGTATGCGCTGAAGAGTCCCAGGCTCTGACGGAGGCTCGTTTCGGGGTGGGGTCCAGAGTCTGGGCCGACCGGTTTATCGACTCGCCCGCCAAGGACACGCGGCTGTCTCCAAGCCTGGCGCGGGGCCATCAGGGACACGCGGGGGGACGCTCCAGCGACCCCGGCCCGCCCCGCTGCAGGCTGCGCCTTCCCTTCTCTGGGCGGTTTCTGTTAGGGTCTTTGGTCCACTTTGTTGGGTCCTGGATTTATTTATGCTTACAGAACTGGGGTGCAGGCCATTGGTGTGGGGTGAGAGGACTCCCCAGAGGCAGAGTGGGAGCAGGACAGGCGGACCCACGGAAACCCTCTGCTGAGGGGGCAGCGGGAGACAGGGGGTGTGCTGCGCCCTGGGGTGCCCCTGGCCGGGGGTGGAGCTCGTGCTGAAGCGGCTGCGGCGGCCTCATGGTGCTTCTCTGCCCCGTCGGGCCGCCCGGGAGGCCCATTTTTCCTGATGGATGTTAAGTTTCTTTGTGTGTTCTGGCAGGGGCCCTTGGTCAGCGGTGCCTGGCCCTGGCCCCTGGCCACTGCTGGAGCACAGCTCGCCAGTGAGCGTGAAGTGCGGCTTTCCGGCCGCGCCTCGGTGCTGAATCTAAAGGTCACTGGTCACGCGCTGGCTTCCGCTGCCCGCAGAAGTCTCGTCGCCTTGCAGGTTACACTAGGTGTGATCTGAGCTGGTCGAGCAGGGCGCGGCTCTCGCGAGGGCGCCCGGCGTCCCGGCGCCGCCTGTTGAAACGGCTGTGTGAGCCTCGCTCCTCCGTGGACAGGCGCCACCCCACGCCAGGGGCCAGGGGCCTGCGCCGCGCTCCCACCCGCCCTTTCGTCACCAAAGCCGCGCTCGCAGCGTCGGCCCTGGC